AAAACCCCCTTTTCAAGGGAGACTCAATCGAGTTGGTTTTCCTTCCACTTTCCAAGCCACCTAAACTAGGTTGAGTTAGGGAAATCCTCAATATTGAATTGAACAAGTTTATTAATTGTGGTTAAACCGTCCTACCTAGAGTTGAGTGAGGAAGTAAGCCGATTACCGATTGTCTAAATCGAGAGGGTCGAGTGACACGACCTTTCATCCTCACCTCGGTTTAGCAATCAAGACTGTGGTCTCTGACCACATACGCTTTCCTCTGCGGTTGACGATTAACGTGCCCAGGGCAATCGTTCCAACCCATGTAGCATGGTAGCGGTTAAGGGGGAAGCCAAACCCAAGTGACTTTCCCACAAAAGAGTTTTCAAACCAAATTACTTTTGCTTTCTTTCATTTCAATTGGCAAACCTTTAAACCAAAGTTTCATCGCTAGATAATGATTTCAACAACCGAAGTAGGGGTAGACGGACCGGCCCGGGTCGATATATAAATACTTGCCCTATACTACACCCGATTAGAGTTTAAAAACTTGGGCTCTAATTGGAGTTTAATTGTAGTGTAGTTTCGAGCGAGTCAGGTTTCAGGTCGGGGAGCTCAACTGGGGAAGAAGGCTACCGGCGGCGGCGGCTCAGTATCTTTTGTTAGTTGGTTAGATTTAGACTAAATGATTTAGGGTTGGGGGAGAGTCTGGGCTTTGTATTTGTGTATGGTTTGGGCTGGGCTGGGTTTTGGTTAGGCTATTAGGTCTGGGTTGGGGAGATTGTGAGTAGAATTTCGGTTGGTCGGTTCGTAATTCGGGAACTCGGTTTGGTCGTTACAACCTTGATTTCCGAACTGAACAACACAATTTTGGTTTTGGTTCGGTTTAAGCTCAGTTCGGTTCGGTTTAGGTTTATCGAACCGGATACCCACCCCTACTTGCAACACCCTACTCGATATGCTTTGATTTGTTATATGATTGATGTATTATGCTCTCTAGATGATAATTGCATGATTAGAGTACCGGAGTATGAGGGGTTTTACTATTTTCTTCCTCTTTTATGAGTGACACGCTAAAACACAACACCAAACTGCGACCAAGTGTAATCGCAGTCCGGAAATGCAGAATAGTGGCAAGTTGTAATTATCAACCCGGGGTCTAAATCTACTGCCTACTTCGTGATGATTTATTATCTATAAAACTAAGTTAATTGAATTGGTTTTAAGCAAAAGTAGTAAGAAAGCAGGAAATGGTTCGAAGTTCTTAAGCAGGAAAGAGTCACTCGGGAATGAGTCCCCCTAACTCCTTAGTTAGGTCAAAGTTGTAATTACCTTTGGTTGATTTACTTTTGATTAAACTGCAGAAGATCGGACAGTAGCTTGGAATCTCTTAAGCTGACCAAGCCCTCTCAGACAGACTAAACGGCAGGCGACTAGCTTTCACCGGGATAGACTGCTAAGGCAATAAACACAGAACTCCACTACTGGAATTGTATTCCAGTACAAAGCAGTAAATCGATTAACTCTCGTATAACCAATTTACTACTACCGATTGATGAAGCTCGAACAACCTAATCAGATTCTATCTATCTCAGGTTGCAGCAAAAATCAAGAAAAGTTGATCAGACTTCAATTGACTCAATGAATCATGCATCAATCAATTATAATCAAGCAGTATATCAATCCAAAGTCATTACAATCAAGATTCCTAACACATGGAACTAGGGTTCTTCATACCCAAGTGAGAGAGGGTTCTACTCCATAGAGAGAGAGAGAGAAGAAGACAAAAATCAGAGTAGTCATAATCATAAAGATGGGGATAATCTGCTCTGGGATGTCAATCTTCACTCCTAGGGATGCAATCTGGGCTTCAATGGTGATAAATCCACTCCAAATAGCTCCTAGGGTTTGTTCTTCGCACTTTCTATCTCTAAAACTACTGGAATTGTATCGACTGAGAACCTCATTCGATAGAGGGAGTCTAGTTCAGAGCGCCTTGATCGGTTGTTCTAGAGAAGGATACGTCCCTCTAGGCAATCGACTCAAGAGGGCCTTGATCCTTTAGTTGAGATTCAAGGTCTAGTCAAGGATTCTCCGCATTGTGAATGAAAGTGAAACAAGTTAGAAATCATCAATCATTAATCTGGCTAGTGGCTAGGGGGAATCATACCTAAGTGAGTTCCCAACCTGGAATTAGATTAACTTTAATTGTAGTTTGTTAGAGTAGTTTTAGTTCTTCCATCTTAATATGGTTTGCTAGATAATGAACTGAAGTTGAGTAATAGTAAGTCTAGAGACTCGTGGATTCGATATTTATTACTTAAGCCACTGTACTGCAGTCCCTTTCATTGGTTACACTTGGCCATTGTTAGGAGTTGTGTCAGTTTTGGAGCAGCCTACTGGTTTGTCTGTAGAGCCCAAAATGATGACATCTTCTCAGGGGTGGTCGAGGCTCCCAGTAAGATAAGTCAAAGGGACATTGCCTGGAGTAAGATCTCAACAGACACTATTACTGCGACAAGGCAGAACAAACTGGGGACCGTGGGGTCGGGTCACAACGTGAACGTGGGGTGGAGACCGGTCCCACGCGGTTAGGGCACAATTAATTTCGATGGTCCGTTCATACCATCTACCCGGCAGGCAATAACCGGAGGCACGGATCGAGATTAGCAAAATCGCTTACTAGGGGCGTTCACCGTCAATCTGGGAAGCTACTCGATCACTCGTGCAGAACTGGGAGGGGTTATTGAGGTTCTCCAACTGCCCTGGAATCTTGGGCATTGGAGGGTGGTCATGTAGATGGATTTGACAGCAACACTGTCGATTCTGCAGAGGACGGAAGAGTCACCACATTAGCACGCGAGTCTCGTACTTCAGTTCTGAAACCTTCTTAGACGGGGCTGGTCAGTTCAGCTATCCCATCTGTACAGGGAGGCTAATTTCTTGGCTGACTGTTTGGCCCATAGGGGTTTTTTGTTTCATTTTGGGTCCATTCGATTTCCCTCGGTGACCCTGATGTTCGACATTGGGCTATGTAAGACATTACAACTTACAAAAGTAACCATTCCTTTTTCGTATTAATGTTATGAGGTAGAAGCACACCCTTTTCGATAAAAAAAACTGCAATTTATTCTTTGCACTTTCTTCTTCTATTTGGGGCATTAATTAGAAGAGGTAAATATAAAAATGCAATAACAATCAATTAGAGAGAGAAAGACCACATCGTTGTTGGTATCAAAGCGAGAGAAAGGCGTGAAGCTCCCTATTTGTGCAATTCCATATAATATGAAAATTCAATTAATATGATGTGGTTGCAACAAAAACAAATTAGATGACTATGAGCACTTCTTCTATGCTATAAAGCATTGGTGCTTTAATGTACAACTTAAAGTTGTATCATAACATTCAAGGTATAAATTCAGGTTGTACCATAAAGGAATTTGTACTCTTATGTTATGGTACAACTTTACAACCTAAAGTTATACCGTAACATAAAGGTACAAGTTCAAGTTGTTCCATAAAAGAATTTGTACAAAGAGTATAGGTACAATCTGAAGTTGTACCATAACATTAAAGGTATAACTTCAAGTTCTAGTGCAACATACCCTAAACTTTTGCAATAAAACCTAGTTTGTTATTGTTAATCTGCAACATGGCATTTAACTCTGACAAACTCATCCCTTTTTATTTTTCAGTATTGTTCATTCCCAGTTTTAAGCATAATAAGTTAATAACCCGAAACTAAGGGGTCGTTTGCTTGAGGGATTTGGTGATGGATTTGGTCATGGAAATATATCCATCATGGACTTGAACCGAAATCCATCGTTTGCCTTAGGGAATTAGGGAGATGGAATTTGTGGGGCCCACCACTTTTGGGGTTCCAAATCCGTGGACCCCACGGACTTGGAAGTTCCACCTCTTGAGATGGGATTTGGGTGATGGATTAAAATCCATGATGGTAAATTACCTTTCTACCCTTAATTATTTCTTTAATTACAAATTTGTCCTACTTTAATTCAATGGTCATGCAACTGTAAACTTTTATAATTTCGTATTTTATAAAATTGAGAATTTATCATTTCATTTTGTAATATCGTATTTTATTTAAATATGAATGTATATGTGATTTGTTAGATTCACCTAGAAACACTTTATGCTCATCTTGTACATTATTATTTGATTGATTGTCGGATTCCACATCGGTGAGTTAGCAAGAAGATGATGAGTTGTAGCAATAACGCGAGCAATTGGCTGCAATTTATACATAATATTGCGTACATTATTAGATGAATTGTTTTTTTTTATGAAGGATTATTAGATGAATTTTTAATTAGTACCAAGATGAATTGTTAATTAGTGCCAAATTGTAATACATTTCTATATTTGTAGTTGAATTATTAATCCACATAGTGGTAAAGAGTTTAAAATTTCTTTCTATATTTTGGATTAGTTTTATATGAGAGATTTGTATTATCATATAGAAATATAATTAAATAAGGGTAACTAGGTAATTTGTATTTAACATCCACAAATCTAATCAAACAAAGTCCATAATCAAATCCATCAAGCAAACAATAGACTTGTTCAAATCCATAATGCCACCAAATCCATCATATATCCATGGTTTTCCAAAACCCAGGTTTTACCAAAACCTTCATTTTTTAAATCCATGAAGCAAACGACCCGTAAATCTCGAGGGATCTCTTTATGGTTCCAAACCTTCTTGGGTTCACTTCTAGCCCAACTCATGCATTAGGAATAACAACTATGCTACGAAGTTGTCATCCTCATCCTGAACCCGATTTCCGCAGGGGCTCCTGCCTGTTATGAGCCTTGTCTCGAATCAAGAGAACAAGCAAGCAAAAAATGTATAAAATTAAAATCTACCGACAGACCTCGAGCAAAGAATGTTAAGACTGCAACATACAGGACTGCAAAAATTGAAGGTTCCACCATACAATAACCAAAACTTGGCTTAGCAAGATTCACTCGGATAAAAACCACACCACCTCAGAGTTGTATCTGAAACACTAAAACCAAAACTTTAGTAAACAGCTACATCTCTCCATTAATAATTTAAGACCTCGGTTTCTCCTTCTTCTCCTTGAAGAGAGCCAAAAGGGAAACACCAGAGACCTTCACAACCTTGAAACGGACTCCAGGAATATCTCCCACGGCATGACCCTTACGCCCGAATCCAGCGATGAGTACTTCATCCTGAACAGCCACACCATATCAAGCATTAGTAGTCTATCATCAATGTAGTAGGTGGAAATCGATAGGTAGTAGAAATACTGCACTTACATTCTCCTCAATGTAGTTCAAGCAACCATCATTAGGAACAAAGGCAGCAATCTTCTTTCCATTCTTAATGAGCTGCACTCTGGCACACTTACGGATAGCAGAATTTGGCTGTTTGGCTTCAATGCCACTGCATAAGTTGAGACAAACGGTCACATAAAGTGGGAACATGATAGTGCCACAAAAAAACACGAATATAGCAACATCAAAGGTATCGTACATCTTTTCCAGGACAATGCCCTTGGCATGGGAAGAACCAGCGAAAGGCTTCTTCCACTCATTACCCAAGTTAGACTTCTTGTAAGCCTTGTCAGCCCACCTTTGCCTCCTGCGGTGGGTCTTCAACTTGCGAGCAGCTCCCATACCACGTGTCTTCCTGCACAAAATTGAATACACTGAATCTCAGATAGCAGTTCGAACCTCATTGAGAAGAAAGAAGGGTTTCAAGCTCCATTTTCATTAGACATAGCATATACCAAGTTAAGCCCTATCTCTAATTATGGCCATAAACATAAATCAATTCACATCCTGTAATATCACGTTCGTCGACTTTCTAAACCCCATTATCCTCGGATATACCGTAAACAACTCCAACCAAACGACAAAGATCTCAAACTAAACTTGAATTCAGGTGCGAACTATGAATGATATATGAAACGGCGTTTGGCTCCCTGAGGATTTATAACTTAGCGAAATCTAAGTTGATCGAAATCAGTCATGCCAAAACACCAATCAGAAAGATCCGCTTCTAGCAAAAAAAGATCTATCCAAAATATTTAAAAAATTTTGCTAGCTAGCTTCTCTCACATTCATCGTTCACAGGGTCCAAACAGGAGGACAAAAAGAAGGATGAAGATGTCTTCTTTCTACGGAAGAACGATATCTGAAATGGTTTGGGAGTTGCAAAAGGAAATGGAGAAGCAGATAGGGATTTGCAGCATGAGAGAGACGTACCCCATGGCTGTTGAACGGAGTTGTGCTGCGGCGCCAAGGGTCTTCTGAGCTTGGAGAAGGAGAGAGGCTTAGCAGCGAGCGGCTTCAAAAATATAAACCCTAGCCCTCGTCTCGTTTCGCGTTGCCGTTATGCATAAATAGATAGGCAGGAGTTTCCTGCCGGCAAAGCTCGGATTCGGGAACACAATTGGATTCGGGCCTAACGAATCCGGTTTAAGCTCTAGTTTAAGTGGGCTGAAGTTTCAAATGGGCCATGATGGATCGAATCAAAGTTTTGCTCTCAGCAGGTGTTTCAGTCCAAGCAACGCAAGTTTGCTATGTAATGTCGGATTTTCTCCAAAGGAGTACTGAGGGCTGGTAATCGGTCGGTATACCGGTTACAAACCGGTTATACCGAAACATCGAGGCAAGGCGAGAAAACGACATTCCAGTTCGGTTAACCAGGAAATAACCGGACCGATTATGGGCAGATGAGAGGCTGGGCAAATTTTTTAAAAATTTCATGGTTTTTTTTTATTTTATGTAATCAATAATGTAATTCTTAACTCTTACTTACAATATTTAGAATTTTTATAATTTCTAGCATTACAATTGTCATTTGTCAAACCATAATTGATTTATAACAAGTTCAAATTCTGAAATTCATTAAGTATCATCAAATATTGAAATTGAAAGTGACGATAATCAACATAATTGTCAATCAACCAAAGCGCATAATGATTAATGACAATGTCTAAAATCTAAATTCACACAAGTTCAAACTTCAAACTTAATAATAAAAATGGATCTTAGAAGTCCCCAAATAACACAACATAAATAAACGCATAAACTAGCATCTCATGCTCCTCCTTCTCCGATAGAACTTGTTGTCCCACCACCAACATTAGCATAACCTTTCTTCTTCAAAGTCCTAAGAAGAGAAACTTCGGGATCGTCATCGTTATCGTCACTAATATCGTCAATCTCCGTCTCCTCGTCATCTTCCTCCTCCTCCTCGTCCACCTCAACAACCCCATCAGGTAAGCTATGTGTTGTAACTTCACTAGCAGTTTCCACTCGAGCTTGGAAAGTATTTAAAAATAACTCTCAATCTAAACTAGTTTCCACATGTTTCTTCATAATCGATGTAGACTCAAGCAATCTTAATACTGATCGTCGGTCACATTGTAGTGTATGGTCAAATTTATCTAATCCGAATACCAGAATCGTATTTCTATAAGGTCTCCCACGACCAATTACTCAGGTGCGGAGGGACAAGTTCTATTGTATTTTAACAAGAATGTGTAGGTTGAGGTGCCTCCAAGTTGAAGTTCCCCTTAGTTTTTCAAAATCAAAAAGAAAAAATGGTATAGAAAAGTAAATCTAAATTAAAGGTGAATGTATGAAGCAGGAGGACCTGGTGTTGCATAGGCAAGCTTGTCCTTGACTAGTCTTCGTGAAAATTGCCTTTAGATTCTCATTGGGGAAGAAGTCATTGATCTCGATCTTTTGGTTGCTCATTGGGGAAGAAGTTAGTGAAAGCACCAAAATTCCCTCCTTTCTCTTTTCAAAATGTCCAAAACACCAAAACTTTCCTCTTTTGTCTCTTCACATAAATGAAAGCGCAAAATTTGTCCCTTCTTCATCTTCTAAAAAATTGAAAGTATCAAAATTCTCTCATTCTTTTTGTTCTAAAAGTTCAAAGTACGAAAACTTTAGCCTTCTTTATCTTTACAAGAACTGAAAACATCAAATTTTGCCTTCTTTCTCTTCAAAAAAAAGTTGAAAACTCATAAAATTTTCCTTCTTTTAGAGATAATCAAATTAGAAATTACATTTTTTTAATGAATTAGTTAGATTTATATCATCAAAAAGCAAGAAACTTTTGGCTACACACCTTACCAATTGAGTAACCTGTAAGTTTTTGTACTTCTGTACTTCAAGTAAAACTATAGTTCTCTATCACCTATCACAAGTATAATCTTAATACCAAGAGTAAACCATCAACAAGGCCAAAACTCAGCGGTTACATCAACACCAAATAACATGCTAACTTCATTCTTTATCTACTCAATCATGGTTGGAAAACTCTTTCTTACTCCGCCATGCCGCAATGTACATCTCTCTCTCCAAATTGTGCTAAATGTAGCATGCCATGGCACCAAAGCAATTTGCTTCTGAACTGTCTTCCCCTTAAGCTTGTCTGTTGCCCACTCAGTTCCTCTTCCCATATATCAAATGAAATTCTTGGAAAAACTAGAGCCAACAAACCTGCAAATAAGATTTTAAACGCAGAGCATTCTGCAAACAGATGGGTTCAAGTCTCCATAGTACAAGCACAAAAGGCACACGACTAGGGTCCTACTCCTCCCTAGCTAGTAATCTTGTCACATGTAGTAATGTAATTCCTGACCACTAACCAAATAAAGAACTGATTCCTGGGTATAGAGGGCCTCTTCCAAACAAGAGAATACTGACTCGTCCTGAATATCACAATAAAACTCCCAATTAAGACCAAGTATAAACCTCAATTGGGTGCAATACAGGGCAAATATTTTTAAATGTCAACCCGGGCCGGTTTATGTACCCCTAATTAGATTGTTTGTAACATTATATAGCGATTGGTTATTTGTTGAAAACAACGATCTATAACTAAAGCGTTTGGAAAAGTAGATGGATTTGACACTAATTGAGAAGGCTTCACCCGGGTGTTGCTCCCCCTAGCTAACAATTATGACTTGTCGGATCGAATGGACGTGTGTGGTAAGATGGTTGTAAACCGTAGGGAAGTGCTACAAGCAGGCAAACACCACTCTCTCAGTCTCTAGGTCAAGGAAATTTGATTCAAGCCACCGAAGTAGCTCTCTTGACCTATTGAGTAAGGGTTTCCAGGACTTCACCCTCGAATCGCGGTTCAGATGGAGAAAGTACAACCAAGTGAAATAAGGGACTGCTCCATGCTAGGAGAAGGGAAAACGCAAGATAGAAGAAGGAAAACAATCACGGAGATGCTAGCCTTGCTCCTTGTGTTGAAGAAATCCTCATTTGGGGAAGGAATTCCCGAATCCTTGCTTGAAGATGAAATCCTAGCTTCTTCTCTTCTTTGGTTCTTCACTTTCTCACTCCAGAAATCTAAAGAAGAAGAAGAAGAAGAAGTGACTCATCCCGAATACCACAATAATTTCCGGCCTAAGGTCTAAGTATAAACCTTAGCCAGGTGTAGGACAGGATAAGTATGTTTAAATATCAACCTGGGCCGGTCTGTCTACTACTTCAGTCATTTGAATCATTATTTAGCAATAAGGTTTTGGTTGAAAAGTTTGATAATTAAAGTAAAACAAGACAAAGGTGAATGGTTTTGAAAGCTCTTTTGTGGAAGTATCACTAGGGTGTCGCTTCCCCCTAACTACTACCATGGTATGTGAACCAAAATGATTGTTATGGGCAAGGTGATCGCTAACCACTAGGAGACGCAAATATGGTCGTAGACCATGCTCATAATTGCTAAACCGAGGCATGCATTATAGGTTGTCACTAGGCCCTCTCGATTTAGGCAATCAATGGTTGACTTACTCCCTCACCAACCCAAGGGTTGGGCGGCTTAATCGCGCTTAACCAAATGGCTTAATCCAATATTGAGGCTTGCCCTAAATTAACCTAGTTAGAAGACTTGAAAATCCCTAGGGATACCAACTCGATTGAGACTCCCTTGGAAGGGGGGTTTCCCTCTCTAGACTAGGTTAAGTGGCTAATTAGATTGGTAAGCATAAACATGCACAATCCTTAGGTTGCTAAGCATAGGCATGCACAAACCTAAGGATGCTAAGCACAAACATGCACAATCAAGATGAATAATACCTCAAACATTTGGATTAAACAATACCCAATGACAATCATTCAATTCACATAAAAGAAAACTACATGGTAGAGTTAGGGTTTCACAACATCCAAGTGAAAAGAATTCTACTCCATGCTAGAGATGGGAGAAACTGATGACTCGATATTTGCACATGTTTTCCCCTTTGTTTCTTGATCGTTTGAGCTTTAATTATCGCTTCTTTGGCCTATTTTACGCTAGGTTGTGTTCCTTTGTCACATTTCAGGACTTAGCACATAAAGTGAAGCATAGGCGCAAGTTTCAAGTCAATCAGAGATCAATTGGCGATTCGGGAGAAGAAACTCGGGCATGACCTGAAGAAGAATGGATTTCTACCTCACTTTATGGAAAAATAATAATGCAAGCTTGTCATGAAAAGAAAGAGGACGAGACTACGAGCGTCTGGGATCAAACGGCGACTGATTCGGAGTCCGGACGAGGGAGAAACGAAGCATTGAATATAGGGGAACAGGTTCGGCAGTAAAAACACGGGCGCGCCTAAATCAAAACACGGTCGTGCCCATATTTAGGCACGACCGTGTTTTGGACGACGCGCGCGGGCATGTTTTTAACACGGGGCAAAACACGGGCGGGCAAAAGCAAAACACGGCCGTGTCCGCGACAGTGTTTTGCCCAGAATCGTGGTTTTTAGGCAGATTGAAGCCAAAGGAAAGGGAGAGCTGGGTTTTGGATCCCAAACACCCAAGGGACGAACCAAAGAGAGAGAGGGCGATTTGAGGGAATTCTTGGAGTGGAATTGGAGGATTTCTTCGCCTTGGAAGCTCGAGGAACAAGCCCAGACTTGAAGACTAATCATCTGAAGATTCTTACTGCAGTCTCTCTCTTCTCTATGGAGTAACTTCCCTTCACTTAGGTTTTGAGGAACCCTAGCTATGTTTGTTTGATTGGATGATTGTATGAGTACTCCTACTTGATAATATTGAGTTCATATTCAATCTATGCATGTTTTCATGATTCAATTCTGCTTTAGTCAAGATTATTGATTCTGCTTTGATCCTATGAGAGCGAATACCTAATTAGGTCAATAGAGCACCATAGATTGATAGTATTGGATCGATTGCTTTAGTCGAGGGTTGATTCACTGCTTTGTATCGATTGAGAATCTCATTCGATAGAGGGAATCTAGTTCAGAACTCCTTGATCGGTTTTTCTAGAGAAGGATACGTCCCTCTAGGCAATTGACTCAAGAGGGTCTTGTTCCTTTAGTCGAGACTCAAGGTCTAGTCAAGGATTCTCCGCATTGTGAATGAAAGTGAAACATGTTAGAGATCATCAATCATTAATCTGGCTAGTGGCTAGGGGGAATCATACCTAAGTGAGTTCCCAACCTGTAATTAGATTAAC